GCATACTCTAAAAACCCCTGAAAATAATCTGTTGTTAGCAACAATCCCATAAAAAAACTTGATTTTTAAGCTAGCTAAACACCATTTTCTAGTTTATGATCTAGCAAACCTCAGATATACCAATTTGTCAGTGTCATGCATTGACTGCGGACTTTAAATAATGTTCCAATTAAATAAAAGAAATATATCATATATGAGTAGATGCAAACAAACCTGCCTTGGAAGAGCCAGACATATATGTCTTAAACTTGTGCAAGACTGTGAATTGTATGGACGTATATGGCATAACCATGAGCAGAGCTGGGACATTCCCGCGCCAAAAACCCTACAGCAATCAACCAAATTACAACATATTTTCAACAAGTGGACCCAAGCAGACTAGACAAACAAAAGTAACGAAATTACAGAGAGAACTTTGTTCTGTAACCTAGATCACCACTTCCAACAAAAAAAAAAGGACAATCAATTACTACTGAGATCTTAAAAATTCAAGAAGCAACCTTATGAAGATGTCAAAATTTGATAACCTATTCTCATCTTTATTTTTATCACAAGGTCAAAGCAGGGAAATTAATATACTACTTTCCCCATAGATCCCTGATATAATTAGTCAAATTAGGTTAACAAATCCCACATTCCCATAATCTCCCTTTCTTACAAATGGAGAAGAGATAACGAAAAGAAGAGAAACTCTGATAATTGTTCAATAACTTCAAAAGATATAATATGGTTTTCTAATTGAGAAAATTGTTCCTAAGACCACAGGCATCATTATCAAAAGCATCTTTAAAACTTTCTAGCTCTTTATTCCACACTTTTTTAGCGTAAAATTGGGACAATAGTCTTACAAGAAATTCATCATGCAACAAGAGATGATCATGTTCATACCCGTGGTCCTTCTTCTCTTAAGATGTCTTTAGCTGCCTGTAGCATTCCAGTGTACTTTGACGGTCCGTACATGTTTTTGTGAAGCAGTGCCCATGAAGTTGTTGGTTCCAGTTGTACCTGTGAAAAATAGATGCTAAATATGTTTTACCAGTAAAGAAAGCCGAAAAGAATCAGCATTCTGCAAGGGATCAGCCCAAACCTGGTATTCGTTTCACATATGCAAGAAGGCCCAAAAATAATACTTGATTCATGAAAACAGTTGTAAGAAATCAGTTTTGGAGGAGAGAGTAAAGTAGTAATCTGGAATAAGTTTGTTACTAGTTTGTTATTTTGATTCCTTGTGTTAGCTGAGCTGGAGTTTGTTAGCTTGCTTAATTTTGGGTATTAATAGGGGATTTGGTTAAGGGGAATGTATTAAGAAATATATTGTCGAGTTTGTTGTGGAGAGCACCTTCCTCTCGAATGAAGGCACTGTATTGTTGAACACTCTGTTTGATAATACAACTATCCCCCCCTTGGCCACCATTTTCTCTCTCTAATTAGCTTGTTTACTTACTGTTTTCGTACTAATCCCTAGCACATTCATGTTCACAGTTATCATATCTGACCCAATTGCATGGATACACATCACACAAAACAAGAGAACTAGCATAAACCTGGGAAATTGTTGCTTCTGATTCCACAACGAATTAGGCACACTAAGCCAAAAAAATAAGGGAAATTAAAATATTGGTATTACTCATCAAGTTCTCATGCTTGGTGGAACATAAAAGCAACAAATCCATTTGTCGTTGTAGAATAAACTATTCATATACGAAGTATATACAGGTTCTTAGTTGTCAGATACAGAAGGAATAGTTCTAAAGCGAAAAAGAAGGGCGAAATATTGGATAAGTAAAAATGGACACAGGAATAGAAAAAGTAATACCAGAGTCAGACACATTAAAAATTGTAATATACTCCGTAAGTAGTAGAGACACTGAGTATAGAGTCATTTTACGAGCCTAAAAATACCAAGCAAACCAAATAATTACAGACTTCTCTTGCAGGATCATCAACAAACTGTGAAATCCAAGAATTGGTAGTCCTTGGTACACAATTTCTTAACTACATTTCTCAACATAATGCAATCAACATGATAGAAATGGATAAAATTGGGGTGGGGGGGGGGGGGGGGGGGGGAGGGGGTGGATTGCTAATGATGCTTCCCTTTGCCCCACTTAACATAGAGGTGCCTACATGGCATCAGCACAATTGCATTCAACTCTTCAAATCAACATTAGTTGAGTAAAGCTTATTACGGGGAATACTATATAGGCTGAAAATTTTCATAACTAAAGTATTTCACACAATCTCAAACCCTGGGCTGAATAAAATATATACTCCCAGAAACTAAGCATGTGACAGCAAGGATTGCAATGATTTGAGTTTTTATTCAAACACGGATTATTTCAACGCTAACAGAAATCACCAACATCCACCAAAAACGAGGAAAAAGGATTTCAAAACAATATGTACATTTATAAACTGATTACCTGAAACCTAATCTTAATGACATCCAGAGGCGAAGTAACAGTGCGAGATATAGCACCAGAGATTGCTCCTGCTGACGCATCTATCAGTGCTCGTTTCAATTGACTAGGCTCCTCCATCACCTTTCCAAAAAAACTTCTCAGCTTAAACTAACAACTGGAAAGCCTGAATACAGAATGCAAGACATCCATCAGTCACTCAAAGCAACTTAGATATTCCAGATTATCAATAAAACAACAGAAAACCGAGCATCAAATGTTCTAAAGTCCAATTGCATCACCTACTGAGAACCAATCGATGTAATCACAAATACACAATAGAAACCCTCATTTTCTCTTTAAAGGGTTGTACACTCTTGCTTGCCCCAACAAATTTACTTTATGCTAAAAAAAAACCCCTATCACTCTCCAAATTTAGGGTTCTTGTGTTTTCAGCCATTTCACATACCACAAAAAATTCAGAACATTATGTAAATACCCACCTAACCAACTTCCAATTCCATTAAATAAAACTAACAAAAAAAATCAAACAATAATGATTCAAACTAATTTTAGGAGAGAGAAAATACCCGCCAAAGAATTAAATTCAGCATAACCCCCAATTTATTTTCTTGTAACACCCTTCAAAGCTGCAATGCACTATAATCACCAAAAATATATTCCTTTTGTCCCTCGTTAATTAACAGATTAAAGGGCTATTTCCCAGAAATCAAATTATTCAAATATACTTATAGTTGATTTATTACCAAAAATAATAATTTCTTTAAAATTTCCAACCTTTCACACATGCTAGTGTACTTATTTAATTCAAAAAACCCAAAAATTTACTCCATTTAGAAAATAAAAAACTAAATAAAAATATGAAGTTACCAAAAGTAATCCATCAATCGTTGCAATTATAGAAATTTAAAAAGGTACTAAATGAGCAGATTTCATAATCAAATTCGAATTTACAGCATCAAATCAAAAGGAAATTTAATTGAAAAAGTAAATAAAAGAATGTAATTACCATGAAATTAAATGGTGGGGGGAGGTTGAATTCATGGCGGCACCGCCCAATTTCTCCGGTAAGCGACGGCGGCGGCGGAGGCGGAGGCGGGGACCGGGTTGAAGAAGAAAAGAAATGAAAAGGGAAGATTTTTGAATAAAAGGAAGAATTTGGGTTGTATTTATGTATTTATTTATTTTGTAAAATTAAATGATGGGAATCTGTTTGTTTATTTTCTTGTTTTGCCGCCTCTTAAAACATCCAACAAGTGTTTTCTTTTTGAAGAAAATTTCTCTCACTTCACTACCTAGTTTTACAAGTGTTTGAGAAGCTTTTTAACTTAATTTACCAACTAATTCTACTAATCTTATCTTGGTATAACTATCCTTATTCGGGTGTCCTAATTTATTTTTTGCAAAAATTTTAGCGCAGATTTCTCTCGAGTTGGGTCACATACTCACTCATTCATTTTTTTTTCTTTTAATTAAAATCATGTACAAAGTGTCATGAACCAAGTAAAAAGGATGAAAGGGGTGTAACTTATCAAGAATTAATTAATGATACATGTGTTGTGTGCATCCACCGACTTTCCTAACAAGATAATTGCTAACACTACCAGATTTGTTGCCTCTTTACCAGTATTATCAATATCTATGTTATGAGTACCTCTTTACTTCTGTTCTACCAATGAATTTTGAACACCACATAACTGGTTTATTTTTGAGAAATGTCAAACATGCACAATATGATTCCTAATATTGATGGGATCACTAAATCCTCTTATATTTAACTCACTAAACATAGATTGTATATGTGTGACTTTGTAGGCCCATTAAATGGAGCATGGAGGACATATATAGGCCTATAACACTAATCTAATCCATAGGCCATTAGTGGTTTCTAAGCAAGACATTACCCATGTTGAATGAGAATCTTACATTAATAAACGTACCTCACATTGATTATTACATAATATTCTAAAGGTGCGTTTTATTTATCTAATTTTATGTAAATTTGTATGATCTTATTAGAATATGCATGAACTTATATTTGTTGTAATACTAGTTGTAAATTGAGCTTGGATGTACATTATTAATTCTTATCAAAACTTATCTCATTTAAAGTTATTAATCTTTACCTGAACTTAATTATATAAAGATAAGTTAAAACAAAGTGAATAGGATAGAGCCATAATGCATACTTCAGTATATAATACAGCACAAAGTACTTTGCACTTTTTTTCATGTTTCATACAATAACTCGAGATGTGAGAGCACATTAAAAGTTTGGCAATTTGCAATTCTTATCTCCTAAAATAATGCAACTTACTCAATTGGACGAAGTTCAAGCAACTTTTGTTGCCTATATATATTTCACGGGTCCATCTGTATTTATATAAATTAAATGGAATAACTCTTGAAAAAAAATCCTGTGGGTAATCGAAAGGGAAAAGCTGTGTTTTATAAGATACCTCTTGAGGTAAAGTAACAGGCATCATTAATTCATTAGACATTAGTCATCGATTTAAGAGGGCATACGAGTATACGACCAAACTGTTTTATGCATTCGGGTGAAAACGGTCTAAGGCAACCTCAAGTCATTTTACACGAGTCTGTTTTATGCATTCGGGTGAAAACGGTCTAAAGCAACCACAAGTCATTTTACACGAGTGTGACGCCACATGTTTGTTAATGTGTGCAAGTGTCATCATTCTCGGTGTACTTAGCTGCATGCTATAATAATTTAGCAGATGAGTGCAAATAAGCAAAACATGTCGTCATATAATGTATCTCCCAGTTGAAATAGTGAAATACTTTGGAATTTTGATACCATGACTAAAAAGTTAAATAAAAATAGCCCCTTCAAAGCAAAATGTAGCTGTATCACTACTTTTTTAGCACACCAAAATGGATTTCACGTCAGAACTTTTGATCATTTGAACCTGTCAACAAAAGAAAGGGAGATCTGATAACCAAATAATTTCCTTAAAAGAACAAAGGGAGAAATAAAGACGAACATTAGATTTTATCTAACAATTTATGATGCTATTAAAAAAAAAAAAAAAAAAAAAAAAAAAACATTTTATGATGTGATATTTGTGCATCACAATTTACTAGGCCAACTAGAATATTAGTTCAGGAGGATGATCCGAGAAATCTTTGAGTTAATCCATATAGCTTCTCAAAGTGAAATAAGTGCTTCCGAACACGCCATATGTGCAGTGTGTAGAGTATTGCAGCCAATGATACTAATACGAAGGATATCAATATCAACACCCAAAAGTGCTGCAAAACAAGGTCATAATCACATCAGAGTCAAATTCAGTAGTGTTACTATTACCGTGTTAGTGTGCAAGGCACCCCAGAGTACCCGAGGTGAGGGGAGTGATCAAGGGAAAACCCCCTGTCTGTAGCCTGCTGGCTAATGGTTCGTTGGCTATTTGGCTATGTATGGTATGAACATTGCAAAACTTCTGATATAACCTCCATGAATTTTGGGTCACTGATATAGCACTTTTCATACAATGAAAGTGATTAAAATCTCGAGACCAGAAGGATATATAGGTGCCCATAGACTGACAAGTGATATATGAGACTATGACTAAGTTTAAGGCCTACACCAAATGTCTGTTTTCGATTTTGAGTTAGAAGTTTGTTCCAAATGCATCTCAAAATATAATGATATGATTTATGAAAAGATAATAAGGTGAAACTGTTTTTAAAAAACCAATCTAGCATCATACACTGTTATATTTATAATTTATATCAGCATAGCTTAGACTTCATTACCATAAAAGCTATAGCTTGAAAAACTAAAATGACTCCGAAGTATTTGGAAATGGTGGGAGCACGTAATGAGGTGAACTTAATCTTTAACTTAGTTTGTTCTACTGACATTTCCGTGTTTGATCAGAGTTTAGATACAAAGTTATGGATGAAATCACGGTTACCTCTGGATTAGAGACAATTACTCCCATGATATAACCTAACAAATCCATAGCAGACTGGATGGAATTCTGGACCCCTCCCACAATACAGCGATCAGAGGCTGGCACTTGGTCCTGAAAAGTGAAAATAGCATAAAGTAGTGCTTATCTAGTGGAAAGGCATGAGCCAGAAACCACAACAGGTATATTCTGCAGTGAGTGATCCTGTTTATTCCCTTAAATAGAAAGATTTTGTTGCATAATCACCTGCATTTGTTGGATGACAGCTAAATCGAACATCCATAATCCAAGACGAGATGCTGCAACGCCACTCATCAACATATATGCAGATGGTAGCTTGTTTTTGACCCATATAGAACCAACACATATAAGAAGAATTGACCACTGCATGAAGCATCACAAGTGTATGAGAACACATTAACATGGTATCAAATTATCATTTCTGATAGAGACAAGGTGAATGATGCTACATGATATGAAAACTTTACAAATTTAAACAGATAATCAAAATTGAAGATTTGGCAGCAAGTATTCTTATAATTAAAAAGGTACTCATACCTGAGACCAAATGGACCAAAGTCCTGTCCTAAGAGTTGCAATTTTCGACTCTAGAATGGGATAGGTAAAGGTTGCTGTTATTCCTACAATAGCACTTATGCCTCGGGCTATACCTATCTGATATGCAGCTATGCCTTCCCATTCCAAGACAGCAGTCATCAAAGAACCAAAGCTGCATGAAGACCAACAAGTATGTCATTTTTTTTATTTCTCTCTGAAAGACTGTAACCCAAGACAATCAAAAGCGTTATCTTAAAGATGCTTCACTCATTGAGTTCATGATAATCACCACTTGACTGTAGAAACTCTAGAAGAGTTCTGGAAGCAGTTTAGGATTTCTGCCATAAACACCTTTCTGTAATTTTATGACCAGGATGTAAAGTAGCCATAGAAACTTAAATTACCTGAGTACTGTAAAAAACAGCAAAGCCAGGGATAGGCCTGGAAGCACCACTTCTTGGTTTAAGTATACTTTCCAAGCACCGAGACAAGGAAGTATTGAAAAACATCCAAATTTTTGGGTTTTGGGAGAAGGAATGTTGTTTTTGTATTCAATAGGCAAGTCAGAGTTCTGCTCAGAAAGAGACTTGCTTGGTTCAGGATCAGAAGATGGGATCTGCTTTCTTTTGCTATCTTTCAAATGTAGAGCCGGAATCCCCTCATATACAGAGCTAAGTAACCAGTATTCAACACACACGGAAACAACGTTCCAAAGGGCCAAAAATATAGCTGATGCTGTCAATGATACAAAGCTTACAATAAAACCAGAAACCACTGGAGCACATAATTTGCAAACCAGGTCAATTCTTCTTAGAACTGAATTTAACTTTGTTAATACTCCAGTAGGCTGGTCTTCTGACATCACAACAACCCTGCATATAATTTGATGAATTACTGTTTAATAAGCGCAATCTTAAGCAATAAAAAGCACAGAAAAATATAATTGACTGAACATCAAGTGAAAGTTTGAAAAGTATGTATTTGCTAATGAATAAATTTCTCTATTATATGATGATCTTAATATTTGAAAGGGTGTTATACTGTTATGTAAATCTAAAATGATGTTGAATCAAATTTGACGAGTAAAAAAGTAATAATAAAGATTGTCTTACTAAGCTAGCAAAAACAAGAGAAGTGTAGTTATGCACTCTTCTGAAAAATAAATTCTGTTCACCATTCTCTTTCAATCAAGATGGTTCCTACAAGGGTTGAAAGCACTGCAACAGCTCCTGAGAGATAAGTTACCAAAACAAGTGATGTAAAGATTATACTCTTTAAACTTGAGTAGACTAGTAAAACAATTACTGCGACTCCAGCAGCTATGAATGACAGATTCTGTGACAGTGTCCAAAGTTGAAGAACCTGTAAGCAGAAAAGCATGATAAAAATTTATTTCTGCTGCATTTGATGAATAAGTTGCAAATTGCACTGAATTGAAGTTTCGAAAATCAACTTTTTTCTACCTTTTCATGTATGTTCCTAATTGCTATTATTAACTCTCAAATCCCAACTGATTCAAAATCAGATTCTTAGCCATTGAATTTTAGGCCATAATTCATCCACTGAACCTAATAAATCATTGAGCACGAATAAGATGAGTTGAACAAACCTTGACATAACTCAGTTTGTTCACCCATTCCCCAATAATAGGACCAAAGAGCGCAACAGAAGCTGATTCTACAACTCCATATAGAGCCGTAAGAAGCAATGAGTCTGGCCAGATGTTAATCATATATAAAGCCACAGAGAATTCCCACATTCTGCAGATAATCTCACCCAAAAATAAAAATTAATCAAGAGTTCCTAGGACAGATCACCAGAACATTGCTAAAACTTAAAACATCAGTTACAACAGCGAATATATTATATCCAGGATTAGAAATGCCTATCATAAAATTTCTCCAAGCAAAGGATGGTAAAGAATAACATAAAAAACACACAGTAATCATTGTCTGAATGACTTGCCCAGTTCCTGTAAACTAAAAAATTCCCACAAAATTTATGCCACCAGTTATGTCAAGAATTAAGATCATAAACCCAAATCCATTCTTATGTAACAACCTTGATCTCTAAGCTAATCACTAGCTTATTCGATGCATCGATTTTTGTGGAATGGACTGTATTGTGACGATTTAATCCTCCTAGAGTTACCACTATAATATCCAAAAAGAAGTGAAGTACTCTTCACAATCAAATATCAGATGCTAAATGACACAATTTGGAGATCAATGAAGATTTAAGAATCAAAAAGGTTCATGAGTACCTACTTCACAACTTTTGTCAAACCCCTAAGGAAACATGCAGAAAGATAACAAAACAATGTTGACAGAAAGAAACCTTTATATCCTCATTATTACTTGCACTAAAACCCTTTTTCAAAGACACCCTTTTTACAAAATTGCTCAAAAAAAAATTGTCCTTTCATCAACCCATTAGTTCAAGTTGAATAAAAATTCCACAGAATCAATGAAGTAAAACTAACATTACCTTTCTACCAAAAATTCCACAAAATATATATCACATAAAATAAAAAAATATAAAAATAAGTTACCTAGCACTCCATCTTGATAAGAAGTGACCAACATACAAACACCTTAAAAGAGAAGTTGGTAATGGATCATTTTCTGGGTTAATTAGACACTGCCTTGCCTCTAACTCTGCATCTCCCATGTTTTAATTTGATTTCTTAGTACTCAATTTCATACAAAGTACAAATATCTACATTTGAATTTGGGGTATTTTTATTAATTTGGGATGAAATCGATGTTGATTTGTTGGGTACAAAGATGACATTTAATCATCAACAACTACTTTGTATTTTTATCTATGGTTTCTCCCGTATTAAGAATCTTAGGTGAATTATTGTATTTTTCAATTGGCATTCCAAATTTAGGAATTTCGTATTCAGTAAAAAATAACTTTTGTGTGCTTCGAATGACAAAATGTACTTCTGATTTAGGCCCTGTTCACTTCACCTTAAAAAAATAATATTAAGTAAAAATAATTTTAGTTCAGTAAAAATCAGTTTTAATCAGTAAAATTAATATAAGTTCAGTAAAAATAATTTCAGTTCAGCAAAAATAATTTCAGTTCAGTAAAAATAATTTAAGCTCAGCAATAATAATTTAAGCAAAATTAATTTAAGTTCATGTACTTTGATGCTTTTTTTTACTAGGCTTTTTTATGTAAATTATTTTTTCCATATATTGCAAAATATTGTCGTACAAGATTTTTTAATACTTCACATATATTTTTTTTATGCATCACTTTTGTCTGTACTTTTATCACATATTGTATAGTTATAAAATATAATATCTTTTTTTTTTGTCAAGTATAAAATATTATGTCTTATTGATAATATTGTAGTCGGTGATATTTGGTAAATACAAGTAGTATATTTTATAAAAGGGTAACAAAATTCATCGTAATAGCATACTTAATCAATTACAATAAATTCAATAAGATATTGAAATATGATATTCATATATGATTATATAAGCATGATCTATACAATACTACCAATATATCGTTATATTTTTTTTTGCTTAAATATCACATGCCTTGATATGATCAATCAATCTACCAATATTTGCTATAATTATTTGTAAATTACATGCAATTAACCAACATATACGTAGTAAAAAAATTGACTGACAATTCAAACCAAAAATTTAATTAACAATATTTTTTTCATGCATGTCATAAATTGTGCTAAAGTCTTTTGGTTTGAGATCGTTAACTCCAACTTGCTGCTTTAGAAACTATTTTAATGATCAACTATATATTTTAATAGTCTTATATAATCATATATATATATATATATATATATATATATATATATATATATATATATATCATAATGGTGTCAGTGTGTTTGACTTTTATTTAATAAATTGTAGAATGTTTTATTTTATGTTCAACAAATATAATTAATTATTTGCATAAAAAAACAAATGTAATTAACTATTAAACTGAAATATATAAATTATATAAATTACATAATTTCAAAAATAGATTATTTTACCTAATATATATATATATATTAAATCAGTAAAAATAATATCTAAATCAGTAAAAATAAGTTCATTTCAGTAAAAATAATTTCAGTTTAGTAAAAATAACTTCAGTTCAGTAAAATAAGTTCAGTTCAGTAAAAATAATTTCAATTTAGTAAAAATAATTTCAGGGTGTTTCCGACGGAATTTTTCCGTCGAAAATACAAAAATAGGCTGTTTTCTAGTAGCCAGAAACAAAAACATGATTTAAAAGAACAAAAAAATGCCAATAAAAAAAATGATTTAAAAGAACAACGGCATCGAGTTACAAACAGATCGATTCCCATTTGCAAGGGATTGGACTGCCAATCATACTCCCACTCGTCAGATTGTTTGCAAGTGAAAACCCAACTTTTATGTCATTGCACAAGACTTTGATCTCGCATTTCGTTAAATTATCTCTCAAACGTACGTAGTGACCCTGAGCTTTTAGACCAAACTGGACAACATGTTCACCCCACAAGTCCTGCGACATACTGTCTCGTTTCGAAGGCGTGCATCATCCTTGATCCGCATTCCAAATTGCACCTGGTGTTGACCCTCGTGTAGAAGGAAAGGTACAATTGATGTCGACGAAAGAATCTCATCTTGGTGATACTCTAATGACACTTGCAAGGGGTCGAAATCGAGTACCTCTTCACCCTTGTTCGTAAGTGTGAGAGTTATGTCCAAATCAGCTGTTACGCGTTTCTTGTCTTGAATAATTGAATAATAATCTCTACTGTTATTATATACTTTATTGGAAGTCACATTAAGAGAATCGACTCGAAACTCCAAAACGGGATGTTGATTGAACATGAATATAATTATTGGAAAACCCATAATAATTACGACGATAAGAATGTAACTTAAAATTTCAGAGTTGATGTGGTTTAACCCGTAGATTGGGAAAACGGCTACCATTATACTTGTTCTAACTTCCTAAACACTGCACAACAGATAAATAAATTTCAATAAACTAATTAATATTGAATAATTACATAATTTTTGGGAGAAAAGGTACAATTTCATAGTTTCATCCTAACATTAAAAGACAAATTCGAATTAAATATCAAATTAGGCTAAAAGGTCACGGTGTAATATTTTTCTCTTGCAACAAAATCGCTCTTTATAAGCTCGGTAATTGTAACCAATGGTTCAATAATCTGACTTTATAATAAACCTAAATTGAAAATAATGACAATTAAATTAACGATTACCCTAGATTGTGAATTTGATATTCAATGATAAAAAAAAAAAAAAAAAAAAAAAGGAACACAAATATCTTACCTATGTAGGATCAAGATATCAGAAGTCGCCTTGATCAATGGAGACCTTGGAATTTGCTTCAATAGAAATAAGAGAGAAAATTTTGAAACCGAATAAAAAAATTGTAGGATGGTAGTTAAAATAAAAAAGTTGATAATGAGTAATTTAGGAAAGTATTATAATTTATCATCCGAAATCTCTCTTCACTTTTATATATTAGATATTCCTATAGATTTACAAAATAAATATTTTTGTAAGACTAGAAAATAAATATCTAATTCATCAAACTTCTCATTGAAATCGAATTGGATTACTCACGTCACTTACGTCACGTTGATAGTATAATATATAGTTCGTTTTTATTAGTTTCTCATCAATGAATTAGGCCTTGTTCACTTTACCTTAAAAAAATAATATTAATTAAAAATAATTTCACTTCAGTAACAACAATTTCAATTCAGTAAAAATAAGTTCAGTTCAGTAAAAATAAAGTCCAGTTCAGTAAAAATAAGTCCAATTCAATAAAATTCAGTATTTTAAAGAAAAAATATAATACTCCCTCCGTTCCTGAAAGTTCGACTCACCTTGCAATTGTGCGGTCTCCAATGAATATTTTTGACCATGAATAACTTCGATTGTGTATAAATGAAAATTTTAAAAAGTTGATTTTTGGATTATTTATAATAAGGGGAATCTAATAAGATCTCACATACTAATTTATTTATATTGTATATAAAGTGCGGTCAAAGTTATTTTATTTTGAAACACCTTGTAGCCAAAAAGTGTTGTAGCTTTAAAAAAGAAATTGAACATTTTGTCCTAAAAGTTTATGTGGCAAAGTAAACTACAAGGCTGGAAACGCCCTAAGTGTATTGTAGCACAAGTTTTATGATGATAGAATTAATTAAGCATTAAAATAACCAACTAAACAGGTTTTATCGTTGTAACGTATCTGCTGTACGTATTAGCTAGATTGTACTAAATATTTTTATTTATTTATTTATTTTTATTTATTTATTTTTTTTTTTATTTTTTTTTTTTTTGTGGAGAAATATAATGATTTGTAATTCTAGTAATGTCATCAGTTTTTTATAGTTATACATAGGAATTTTTCATTTGGTACCATTGTGCTTTGGGCTTATTTTATTTGATACCCAATATATTTTTGGATTCCACATATTACCACTATACTTTTAATTTGTTCACTATTGTAACATTCAATCAATTTTGTTTTGTATACTTATATTTGGGTGCCATAAAAATTGTTCGCTTAAGGTTTAAGGGGATGTTAAAGCCCTTCTAGATCAAATTTGAAGTCGAAATTAGCAACAAAAAAAAAAGTCTCGATTTACGTGCAAGTAAATTGACTCATATTGCCTATTTTGATCCGTTTCACAAAAAAAAAAAAAAAAAAAAAAATTTATAATAATTTTGTGGTCATTATGAGCTATAAGAACAAATTTTGAAGTCAATAATAGATAAAATGAACCACAAATGCCTTAAATTAATCAATAATAATAATAATAATAATAATAATCTAATATATTATATATAAATAAAGTAGGCATTTTTGGAGAGCATTCGAAGCGCCACGTAAAAAATATACTTATTTCGACCAATAAGAAGAAAAGATTTGTATTTTATTTTTGAATTAAAAAATTATGTCGCCACCTAGATAAAAGTAACGAATTAGATTTGATATATCTAAAATTTTAATGTCATGTAGATTATAATCCACGAATCAAATTATTTTAATGAAAAAAAATAAAGTAAAATATAGGAAAAGATAAATTTATTAATTCAATAATACGAGTATAAGAAATCCCAAAAAAAAAAACTAAAAAATATTTAAATGATAAACCTTATAATAAAGTTTGATACCTATCATTATAAGATAAATTTTGATAGTATTTATGATAAGAAATACAAATTGTTCGTTAATTATAATTAAATCAAAATTTGTGATACCTACCATTATAAATTGACACATCATACGACACAACCAAAATTTTGTATCAATACAAAACCCCCATCAAGTGAATTTTGTGTTAGTTTTTGGTCATCAATGGTCGGGTAATCTTTAGCTTAATTTCTAAAATCCTATGTTTAAATTTGTATTTGTAATTATTACTTACATTGTGTTAATTTGGGATACTTAACGATTATATGTTTATGTTTTATTTACTAAATTTTGTTTTTACATGCACATCTAACGCATCATACGACACCAACAAAATTTGTATCAATACAAAACCCCATCAAGCGAATTTTTTGTTAGTAATTTTGTGTTAGTTTTAGGTCATTAATGTCCGAATAATTTTTAAAATTCTATGTTTAAATTTAAATTAGTAATTAGTACTTACATTGTATTTAATATTTATTTGGGATACTTAACGATTATCTGTTTATGTTTTGTTTACTGAATTTTGTTTTAAATGCAGATCTAATTTAATTAGAGAATTAAATTCGAGCAAAAATGATTGGAAAATCAAAGTACAAATTTCTCGCCTATTTGACATACTAAATTTCTGTAAACAACATAGCTTAAAAGTTTGGATATGGTCC